TCATCAACTAACTGTGTTACCGAAACTATTCAGCTGTAACTAATAATAAAGATTATATCTCTCATTGTGCCAAAAAATGTCGATTGTTATGTTTTTTACTCTTGAAAAGTTATGTTTACAATGCTACCCACAAATTACTGATCCTTATAATGAATAGTAGTTCAGATAATAAATTGGACTAAACGGGAAAACCATGGAATATGATAAAAACAAAGATAAAAGAAGCCTTCTACACCCACCTAACTGATAACATGAAGGTTTCATATATTGAATAACTTCACGTTCTTAACTGTATAAAACGTATTTACTTGGTGTAAAAGAACTTACCCAAAAAATGTGAAAACACCCATTTTCTATGTGAAATGCACAGGAAACAACAGAAGTAACTGTTGCCATTAATTGCAATATTGACAGTTTTTAAATAAAATTTTTTGTGTGACTTGTGTGTTATTAGGAACCTGTTAACCAACAAGATCATGCACCCACAAGCAGATCGGTGCATGAATGGTTTAGAAATGTGTTTCTCAATCCAATGTGGTCCATGGCTCATCCTATTAGTAATTCTATGGTTAAAATTTTACTATAACTTACCGCTAATGAAGCTTAATCTTCTATCTAACTTCGTAGACATATCATCCATAACCACCTGGTGTCGAAGGTTTGTACCATCTTCTCCTTTAAGGAATCAAAAATATTTTATTAGTTTTCGTTTGTTGGTTAGATTGTTGTTAAGCGCAAAACTATATAATTAACTAACTGTGCTGTGCCCACCATGGATATCAAAATCCTGTTTTTATCGTGATACACCTATAAACTTACCGCTGAGACAATGTGTGTGTGTAAAATGTTATAATTCCAAAAGAATATTGATAAACTTTCAAAACAATATAAAAGTAGTTGTTAAACGTCCATAAGTGTTCAGTCTTCAAAGTTTCCAGATCCACAAGTGCTGCACACTCTAGCAGTTTATTTGATCACCAGATTTTAGTCTGTGTGTATAAACAGTCACTCTTTTAGACCATAGGTTCCCAAATTCTGGCCCGCAGTTTTCTTAGACAAGTCCACAAGCCAATTTCTGGGAGTCCATGCAATGTCAGTCGTTATGCCGTTAGATAGCCCTAGTTAACATAACTGAGTTATAATTAAAGTTGTTTGCGGTGTATGGTAAGGTTAAAATTTTAAAAAAGGGTGGGGGTCTGGGAATTCTTTGATAACCCCTTCTCTTGGCGCAATAGTTCGACACTGACTTAATTTCGGCGCTATGGGGCTGTGGTAAGATACCATTATTTGGTCAAACAAGATTATTCTAATAGTAGACAATGGCTGTTGTTAACTAACTGCCTTCCCTCTAGTCTATAAATTCAAAAGTATGCGCAGGTGAATTTTTGTGTAGCTTTGTGCAAAATTGTGAAACAAAAACATTTGAGCGATTTGTCCACGGAAATGTGTACAAATCACAAGGGTTAATAAACTGATATTCAACTAAAATGACGTGATATTTAACTGGAGACCTGATACACAGTACTAAACCATGGAGGATCCTGCTATTTCGTCGTAAAAATAAGTGCTTGTTACTACACTGACAACAATAAATAGGTCATGTACTAGATGTACTTGCGCAGGAATCCCGAAAGTATTCTCTTTCAAGAGTAAATAGAACCAAAATTAATAGTAACAAATATTTTTATTCCTTGCTTTTCAATTTCATATGCCATGCTGTGTTGTAGCCTAATTATTCTCGTGATTCATGGCATGTGCACGTTTTACTGACACCACGACAGTACAAATTGCAAAGTTAAGCGTCCCTTATGTGACGTAATTTTAGTGTTTACTGACTTACTGACATACAACACACTTCTGTATGGTGGTGCGAGTCAAAGGCATCCACAGACAACTCTTGGGCTATTCTAACCAAATGGTGGGGTTTGCCTATCACTCTTATAACACGCCCACGTCCCCAACAGCCTGCGAAACGTAGAGGCTAGGATTCACAGTCCGGTATGCTAACCATTATTCCATGCCCTTCCTGGGCCTGCCATGGCCACGTGATCAGGACGCTTTACTCGCAGTCTGCGGGTCGCAGGTTCGAATTTCCGTCCCACAGAACATGCTCGCCCTTTCTGCCGTGGGGACGTTATAATGTGACGGCCAATCCCATTATTCGTTGGTAAAATAGTAGCCCAAGAGTTGACGATGGGTTGTGATGACTAGCTGCCTTCCCTCTAGTCTTTCAATCCTAAATTAGGGACGGCTAGCGCAGATAGCCCTTGTGTAGCTTTGCGCGACATTCAAAACACACATTGCCTTTCTCTTACATTTGCAGGACACTCTACGCCTTATAAGGTCAAACATATAATATAAAATTATCTTCCATAACTATATCGACGATCTGCTAATAAAACCGATAAATGCACTATTCTGTGGCATGACAAAGGAAAAAGAAAGGCTCGAAAAGAAGGTATTTCGCGCTATCAAACTATGGTTGCTTCTCCTTCAGGATCAAAATGAAAATCGGTCTTTAAAAATTGCTTTAAAAATAAAGTCATGCTCAGTATTGTTTCTCAGAAACGAAGGATTGTTCAGTGCCATTAATGAGCTAATAACATCTGTTTTCCATTTAGAACTGCACGTGCATTTTTGAATTCATAACTGTACGATATCCGCGTGGTTTCAGATTTCACGTGTTTCCTTCTTCACTCGTTGACTAGAAGTCCAATTTAACAAATAAACGGCAAAAAGTAAGCAGAAAGTTGATGTGCTTGTAGTGTTTCATTAGGGCTAACAAGAAACACGTGCTATTGCATTGTGGGTGGAGAAACAGACATGACAAGAAGACTCTGAATTATGGGATTCTTTCTGACTATCTTTCCGGCGGTGGGTAAAGAGCACTAAGTGGGTGTTAAAAGGAAAAAAACTGTGTGGAACTACTACTTCCAATGTTTAGTCCGCCTTGTAGGTATTGTGTTTGAAATTCGAGCAGACAAAATATTCTAAACAAAAACCAAAGACCTTACATTTTATACAGTTTAACATAAATTATATGTGTTTGGATCCATTTTTTATCTGTATAGCTTCAAACAGGGGCCACAGAAATGATTGTGCAGTAGTTTAGATAATGATGGTTGTGACATTACAATAAAGATTGAAAACACTAACTAAAAGTGTTTCATTAACAAAAATCAACGTTCCAGTGACAACCATTTACCTTTATTAACAAATTACCATACAAACCATTGTATTTGATGAATAGTTACAGTCTATATTATGCATCAATCTAGCCTATTTGTATTAAGTCAAAGCTGCACTATAGGTTTGTTTGTGTTTTAAGCGCTTATCTACACACTGGGTTGTCTTCGCTGTACCCACTGCGAGTAACGAACCTCGATGTTTAACGTTAAAACTCTCAAACTTGCCGTTGAGCCTCCAGGGGCTGTGAAATAGGCTATTTGCACTGTGTACTCTGCAGGGATCAAACCCCTATTGTAAGGTAATAAGCTCTCTAGATTATCGCTGAGTTAGCGTTAGCAAAGGAGACTAAGACTGAAGAAAACATACATGCACACACTTACTAACATTTAGTCTTACGAGTGAATCATACACAGCTGACAAGGAAATATAACCGAGATCTATAGCAAAAATTATGTATCTTTAATGTATAACATCTCGAACAGGACAGTATCTCTGAAAAAAAAAAATTGAGATTTAAAGTACTGAACATGATCTAAATGGAAAGAAATCATATCTTTATCAATTTGTATTTTTAGCAAAGCTACTAAGGCCATCGGCCACTATCTTTAATTTTGAAATACTGGCCAGTCAACAGCAACCTACCTCCAACCATTCATGCTAAGGGATAGACTATCATTCCCTTACAACGCAACAAGAGCTAAAAAGTGCGAGAAATATTTTGTGGTATCGCACAGATTCGAACCCAGCTCGCCAGCTCCGAAATCCAGAGATTTATCTTAACTTTATGTTAAGCCTAAAGTGTACAACTAATCATGAATTAAATACTATTTCATTGGTGGAATATTTCCTGTGCCTTGTTGTGATGTTTACGGTGATATCTTATTCAGGAAAGCGCTCAAAATGTCCTCTACTTCAAAAATCTAAACAAGATATATCCATAGGAAACTCCAACCCTGCTATGTCTACGCTCTTTACATTATTCATAACTAGCAGTTGTACTTGTGTGATATACATTGAGAGATTTATGAAACTTAACAAATCATTTATATGATTAGTTTATTGATTAAATAGCAATTGTAAAATGATTGTTTTACCAGTTATGAATATAAATAATGTTTCTGTTTTTGTCCTAAATATGTCAGTAATGATTGAAAGTACACAGACTATATGTATACCCACGTAATGAAATGGAAAACTGAATAAATCCCATCACTACCCCCAAGTAGCCACCACCACTGACTGATTATTATTTAGCCATCACTGGAACTATGAAATCTGTGCTTCTTCTTGACACATCCCGAACCATTCCTAAGTGATTAAACAATATTTGACAGGTCCAGATGCAAAACCTGGGAGGAGTTATAGGACAAATAAACACTTTTCTCAAATTATAGCTCAAATACTGCTTTGTTATTCACTACCATACCTTGTATGTTTGGGATCGTTAAAACAATCCTTTCTTGACAAATAAAAAATTACTAAACTGGCAAGGCGGAACTTTAGATTTAACAAATATGATTAAGATCACGTATAATTGTATCTACCGCATTCTTTTAAACGTGTTCTTTAAACACTTCAGATCAGACATTTGTAAAAATAACGGTTCAGATTTAGCTTTTTTTCTGACAAAAAACAAAACATCACTATCCAGAAGGCCCTTTGTTTAACGCTGGAACTCAGTAGCTTGTGAGGACCCGAATAAATTAAAAGTCCATCGAAAATGTTAGTTCTGTACATTACAAGAACTTATTGTTATGGCGTTTAACGACGAACCCTGATAAATTCATCATTGTAATAAAAATCAAATAAAATTATAGATATTAGGCTAAATGGTTTGTGTGTTTTCCAGTAGAAAGAGCTGAAATGCTATTTTTACACATCTCTGAATTGGATTAATTAGGAGGTATGGACAAATACAAATACGTTATAAAATGGGTTTGTCATCATAGTTACTAGGCCTAATAAAAGTATTGAATATTTGAACTGTAGATGACACTTCGGCTTATTTGTTTCTTTGTTTCAGAATCTTGCGCAAAATTACACAAATGATTATCTGAGCCTAGCTGTCAGTAATTTTGAACTGAAAGATCATAGGGAAGGCCAGTCAACAGCACCTACCGCCAACTCTTTGGCTACTCTGATCTGACCAAATATTATACGCGGATCGCGTTTGTACATAAATAGATTCACAAAGTGAGCACGCTAACCACTTGGACGACGACCTTACAGAATTTTGAAATGTGCGTGTGATAAACACTGGTTTTAATATTTTATGCAAAATAGGTTCTGTTTCGATTTTTATTGACGCAGAATCAATAATCAATCAATGATAGCTTTGACCCGAGGTTGTTTTTCCTTGTCCCCGTGGTACGTTTTAAAGTATAAACATTTGTTTTTCTGCTTGGGGTTCGTGCAACAGGAGTATGTAATAAATCACCGCATTACCAAAAGAAGACAAAAGTAACAAAAAATACATCTTAATATTC